GTCATGATGACAAAGAAAAGGCTTGTGTGTCACTAAAAATATTAGATGGATTATTTATTTATTTATTTTAAATTTTATTTTATTTTGGGCCGACGCTGTGGCTCACTCAGGAGAGTGCCTGTCCTCATCAAAAATGTCAAGGTCATAAAAGACAGAAAGTTTGAGGAACTTTTCCAAAGTAAGGGAGACTAAAGACATGTGAAAACTGCTTTATCCTAGATTAGATCCCGGTCTGGGGGAAAATATATAGCTGTAAAGGACATTATTGGGAAAGTTGAGGACATTTAAATATGAACTGAGGACCAGATGATAGTACTGCATCAATGTTAAATTTTCAGTTTTAAGAATGCTCTTGTTTTTAGAAAACACAGAAGGAGCATGATGTCAGAATACTCTCAAGTGGTTCAAAAATTAAATTTTATAACATTTTATCTTTCTTTTTTCTGTTTTTTAAAAATTTTATTTTATTTTTTCAATATACAATGTGGTTGATTATTGTAGCCCATTACCAAAATGGGCTCCCTCCTGCCTCTCCCCCCTCCCTCCCAACAACCTCCTTCCTGTTCGCTTGTTGTATCAACTTCAAGGAATTGCAATTTTTTTGTCTTCTTCCCTCCCCACCCGTTTATTTGTGTATTTATTTATTTATTTTAAGCTCCCACAAATAAGTGTGAATATGTGATATTTCTCTTCCTGTGCCTGACTTGTTTCACTTAATATAATTCTCTCTAGGTCCATCCATGTCATTGCAAATGGCAGTATTTCATTCTTTTTTATAGTAGAGTAGTATTCCATTGTGTAGATATACCACATTTTCCATATCCACTCATCTGATGAGGGACATTTGGGCTGGTTCCAACTCTTCGCTGTTGTAAAGAGTGCTGCAATGACCATTGGGGAACAGGTATACCTTCGACTTGATGATTTCCATTCCTCTGGGTATATTCCCAGCAGTGGGATAGCTGGGTCATATGGTAGATCTGTCTGCAATTGTTTGAGGAACCTTCATAACATTTTCCATAGACGCTGCA